ATATTTTTAGTTTTCATTTTGGATATTTTTTTAGCGTGATATAATTCAATTCTAGTCAGGGCATATAGCTCATAAAGTAGTTGTTTCCCGCAATATCAGCAGTTAGGAGTCTAGTTTGTGGGTTGTATATCTAGGTTTTTACTATCAAAGAACAATGACTTCATTTGATAAGATTTATTTTTTTTTATTTATTAGAATTAGCTTAAAGTTTAAATATTATTTTTAAAAAAGAAACCAGTGTACTTTTTGAATCACTTAACCTAAGATTTAGTCAGGCCTACAGCTAAAATCACATACATCTCCCCTCTTTTTCTCTGAAACGATTCATAGGATCACTTTGGGCCCATGACAACTTTCGATCAGAAAGTCAAAGGCTATAACATTCTGCAAAATCAGCCAAATCGACTGGGTCCCATTTTCCGTTGATTTTGTGCGGGGTTCTTTTGAAAAATATGGTCTCGCTAAGAAATATTACAGTCTCCACTTTAAATTCACCTGCGATGATTTTGGGTTATTAACTAATTTTACATTGTAACGTTTATATGAGCAAAATTTCATTTACATATTCGGAAATATTAAAACAAAACAAACTTCAGAGTTCGACTTCCTCCTGTACATTGAAAACAAAACATTTTAAACCATGTATTATCTCTACAAAATATTTACATATTTTTTACAGTTTGCTGATAAAATTGACTTTGAAATCAGAAGTGGGATCGTTTCTGATATTTCATATTCCACGTGACATACATATTATGTTAAAAACAGTTATTAAGGTGTTAAAAATGCTGAAACATTTATCAAAGAAACTTTGTTAAAATCTCGGTAGTGACAATGTTCTCTTACGTTATAAGCTTTCTGTCGGACATACACATTTTCCACAATAACCTATACAGGGTGTTTCTGAAATAAGTGCGTTAGAGTGCACGAACATGAGCAACTTTTATTGAACAACCGATTGTCTAAATGTTTTTGTTTTCGAGGAAATTAATTAAGAAAATTAACCATAAATGTGTGCATCTTGTGCACATGCACGATCAGAATTCTTCAGACTCGCTACGTGCGTGAAGCGTTTCTCTAATTGGCTGACGTACCAGTGACTTCCATAGTCAAGCAAATCTGATGGTAGATCAGTATGTCTTGTGTTTTTTAGTTGTTGCAGTATTATTTAGCTGGCGTATAAAATGTTTTCTGATCATGAACTAGCAGATATGGTGTTACTGTACGGAGAATGTTTGTACAATTTAAATGAGACTTATCGTTTGTAAGCGATCCATTACCATAACAGACGACAACCTAACAGTAGAGCAGTGCAAAAGATAGTTCAAAAGTTACGGGATACTGGGAATATCCATCTGACATATGATGATCGTGGACGGAGTTTCCGAGAACGAAGAAAACATCATAAACCTCGTTGAGGAAGATCTGAGGCGCAGTACTCGCAACATTGACCGAGAAGGGGTGTATCTAACAGTACCGTGTGGCGTGTACCACGGGAACAATTATTACCCCCCTATCATGTACAAAGGGTCCAGGCATTAAATAACAATGATTTTCAGCCCCGTGTGGAATTTTGCCAGTGGTTTTGACATCAAATAGCACAAGATCCGGAATTTACAAGCAATGTACTTTTTACGGATGAATGTTGTCTTACTAGAGACGACATACTAAATTTTTACAACATTCACTATTGGTGTGATACAAAACGTACTCGATTCCAGCAACGGTTTTCAGTGAATTTGCGGAGTGGTGTTTTTGGTACACACGGAAACAACTTTGTAAGTAATTCATTTATTCGTTTAATTTTTGTGTTACTAAACGAAATTTGAATGAATTTCGGCATTTTCAAACACAAAATTTAAACTGTCAAAATCGCCATCAGCGCTTTCGCCGCCCATTTCGCCCTTCCACAAATAAGAAGTGAATCTTATTTGTGGAAGGGCGAAATGGGCGGTGATTATTAGACGCCTTCATTATAGCCATCTTTCTCTATCGCACGGATTTCTATGACTTTCTTTATCGCTCTAACGTAACGGCCGATGAACCATGGGTACTTTCCGACCCTGTATATTGATATCCAATTCTGCGTTATTAATATTTGTCGCTTTTAGTTAAATATAGAATAAATATTTGTGTACTTATATGGTGGTTATTAAAGTACGCATACTTTTATTAATTAATCAGTGTCTCTATTACGTTTTTTCATTTGTGCCTTGATCGCGCGATAATGTATTGTTCAAGTGGGGGGTCAGGTTACCTCCTATTCGAGCTCCTGGCAAATCAGTATCGGCTTATTATTTTTTCTTTTATTTATAGTGTCAAGAGATAATGGAACGTAATCAAAGGGTGCATTATTAAAAACCTGTTTTGATTAATTAGGGACTATATAAAACCGCGACAACTACGTCACAGGCCTTTGTTTACGGGCATCCCGGCTATTAATCAAAAGTACGGATAAGCGGACGTATATAATTGAAATAGCAAGTTTTTTTGGAGTTCCTTCATTAATCTGTATCCCGCAAAGATGACATTTCGTAACAGTGACATACATAAGCCTACAAACCTGGAAATTATTATTTAAGGGTAACTCTAACCGTTTATATTAAATATAACACGAAAAAGGGTGTATAAATACTTACCTTATTTAAGTTCAAAATACAGGGTGTAAGAAGTTTGACTGTCATTTCTTCAGCATGAGATAGAGTAATCATAAATGAACAAAAAATTTGTATATTACAGGTTCATAAAATTAACAGTTTTCAAAATACAGCGCGTATTAATATTGGGGAGTTTCATCACAACAGCGCTTACCTAACGCTAACAGCTGGTGCACGCGGCAGACTTGTCCTACGGAAAAAATGTAAACAACTATTATTTTGAAACATTAGTAAATTTCAAGACAATTGTTTTCCAGTTTTTAAATAAATAAATAAAATATATCTATTTTGTAGTACGAAGATAGTATTGTGCTTAAATTTTAGCTCGAATTTTAGTAATTATGAATCTCATAAAATAGGATCTTTTAATTAAATTATGAATTTGAAAAATATGTAATTAAAGTACCCAAAGATTCACGTCGTCCAAATAATCATTCGTATTAAAAATAATTTAGGTACTTAAAAAAAAGCAAAATTCAATAATTTTTAAACGCACAAGTACAAAACAAACTACAACATATGTTCAAAATGTCCACCACCATTAAAGTACCCGGATTTATCCCTATTTGATGGGCAGCGGGAAAAATTCGTTCTCGCAAGTCTTCGACTGTCGAATTCCAGATACCAACTGAATTGCGTATTGTTGGTTGTTTACCTTAGTACCTCGTGTTAACCGCCGCGCCGTTGTCACATTGCTCGATATGAATTTTATCGAACTTTAAATTGATTACAACGATAATAATTATTTTTTAGAATTAATTAAGCATAAAGAAATTCAAAAAAGTGATAAACATAGTATTTTATGATATTCTATGCACGCATTTATGTCAATATTCCTTAATTAATCGAACTTTTGTACATCAAATTGGAGATTTTGATCTGTTAAAATTAAGGCAGTTACATTTTTAACACCCTGTATATGGAAAACTGTGGTTATAACATTCTAGGTTCTCCTCATATCAGTAATATATTCAATTCATTCAAGGGCTCTTGTAATACAATCTAACTCTAATGATATTAACACTTTTGTATGCGCAGTTATAACAGCTAAGAAACAACAAATTTTAACAAAGGGAATTTTAACTTGAGGATTGCGATATATGAGGATGTACTAGAAAGATGTAATGGATATAGCAGGGATTTACTGGGGGTATACTTGATATCTTGTCTTAGCTCTTTGAAGATGAGCTCGTTCCAGGGACATGCAATAATGATTTTCCAAATGGGAAGCAAAATACGAAGAAAAATCAAGAGACAAAAAAGTAGTATATTTAGTTGCTTAATGCAGAAAAAGTTTAAAAAAGTCAGTGACGCACTTTTTTTTTTGTCAAAAATATTGGTGAAGGTGCCCCCGGGACGCCACTGGACTTTAATCTAGTTAGGGCTAATTTAGCCCCTTTCTACCATAAATAACACTGCCAAATTTCAACAAAACTGGCTGAAGGATTATAAAGATTTTTACGAAAAAACGATTTTTTTTAAAAAGTTCGACACCCTGTATCTTGAAAAAGAAACATTACCGGACCTATGTTTATATAAACCTTTCTTCTTAGAATCACTAAAAGAATCACCCCTGGAAGTTTGGCTACGTACTTAAATAACATCCTGTAATTTAATTCTCAAAATAATGCGGAAAATTGCAAGGCACGCCCTTGCCGCGGTAAATTGTTACAGTAATTCCTATAACAGAACATTATTGGCTTATTATTTTCTTGGAATTGTATCTCAACAAATATTCTAAGGACTGTACTTATATTGTGAATCTATGGTTAAAACATACATAACTCCTAAATTTTACTCAAGGCGTTTTAGACTGAGGGTGTTTTGGATAAATATTTCTCCAACTTTTTCGTATAGTTTGATATACAATACATAAATCTTAAGAATATTTTTGGGCAAAGTAGTCCTATGTCATCGCGATCGTATACAAAAACTGATAAAAAATGATAAATAACATTTTTCTTGAACGGGTTCCTATTCATTCAAACCTGTGATTATTATTGATTAAGCGCTACAAAAAGTAATCAGTCATTAAAAAAGAAAATCGTCAATATATCGGTAAAAATCATAGATGTGAACCGATGTTCCCATAAAAATAATATAAATTATTAAAAACAGAAAATGCATATTTTATGAAAATCGACATATCCTATGGGACACCCGGTATAAATCTCAGATGTTATTAAGCGTCGTAGGTAGAAATTTATAAGAGGAATTTACAGGGTATTACTTGTAGATTTACTGTAAGGAATGTGGGAATATTTTTTAAGGACTTCTACAATTGTTTAAGAATGAATTATGGATTTATTAAAAAATAGGATGTAGTTTACTGTATATACGTACCTACTTTCATTAAGTCTATCTCGTCTTTAAAATCAATATATTCCAGATATCAACAGACTATATGTACCTTTATAACCTTGTCCATTTCGGTATTTCGCTATATATCTAAAAGAAAATAAATAAACAATAAACTTGCACCAAAAACATTTTCAGAACTTTGTTATTATGTAACTTACTTTTACTTAGTTCAAAATGATAGATACACTTAAAAAATCTTGACACATGCGATGTTCTAATCTAATGTATGATACAAAGAATTCAAAATTAAATATCTTTGATCCAATTTGGCAACAGTGTAATCCTCTAAATGGAATGGATTTAAAGGGCACCATACGGCTACCCGGTTTAAGTGGTACGTACTACGTACCTGAGAGAGAAATATTTAAGAATAATCAAAGTTATGACATTGAATTACTTAGTGGTCAAGTTTTATAGGCATGATATGCATATCTATATCAACATTTCAACTAGTATAAGTCACAAACAGTCCAATTTTGTAGCTCGTTTTGTTCACACTTAAATCGTTAAAATCGTTTAAGATATGGGGTCCTTTAGTAATGTGATGAATGATGTTAAATAATATGTAAACAAAGGAACATGTAGGTTAGTTGTTAAATTTACATGATATAATTTACTCTTGTATTTTCAGGTTAGGTACTTGACATTAACTTACCAAATAAGTGATTTGAAATAGATGTTCAAAATGCGAGGACTTTTTTATTTAAGTACCTATCTTCGAGCAGTAGTGTACTTATACACAGTTAGATATGACATTGAACTACTTTAATATCACTGAAATTCCCAAATAAAGTTACTAACTAAAATTATTTGCACACACAAACTGATATAGGTAGTTAGTATCAAACACGCGGACACAAGTTTGGTAGGTAGGTATATTGGAAAGCATAAATAATAAACATCACCATGCTTTAAAAGTCAATCATGCAGGGTTGTCAGATGTATAATGCTATTATTAAATACTAATATCTCATGTTGGTGATAACATATTTAATTGGAAATTAACTTTTACGTATTTCGTTGCAATACAAATGTATTTACTCTAGGAATAGGATTTGTATCCCCGTTTCATGTAACCAAGTACCAGAAAATTCATGTGACTGCTAGAGCCATCTATTGTTCTTCTGGAATAGAACCATGTGGTTAAGCTCAGGAAACTGTTAATAGGTGGCTCTTTTGGTTTTGTAATGTAATTAGACGGTAAATTTAAAGTTATAATTAATAGTGAATTTACACTACATCTGTGTTTTATTTCTCTAAGATCTTAGTTGTCGTATATTGAACAATCAACATTTAAAATGGTTGCGTTTATTTAGGATCTAGGGTAAATAAATCACAGCTTATAACACAGTAAAACAATAACTAAAGATTAACTGTTTACTCAAAATAACCAGGCACACACTTTTTTACAGCAAATGTTAAATCAGTAAGGTTTGATTGCCCATATTGACATTTGGCATTTTTTAAATTGTTAGAACGTCGAATCGAAATTAGATTAAAAATGTAAAAAAAATACTTACATACTTACATACTTACCTACATAAATAAATACGTAGATATAATTAATTTAAATATAAATATGTACAGGGTGATTCGCTATATTTTGACCCCCCTTTAACTTTTTTGTTTTAAGAGTTATAACAAAATGTGAAATACAAAAGTTGAACAATTTTTTTTGAATTTTTCGAAAATGATAGTAGAAAAACAAATGAAGTCCAAACAAAATGGCCGCTGATGTTAACTTTGTTAATTTAAGTGGAACACCCTGTATATTTTTATATATTCGGATAGAACGTTCCCTACCGAACATAGTCATATCACAAACATCATATCGTTAACCTACTTAGCAAATGTCGTAAGTCCACTTTTTATCCAGACAGAGATTTTGGTGGCATCTAGCATGAACCTGTCATGCTGAGAAGTCAGATTTTACTTTAGTAGTAAACAGCGCGCGAAAACATCAAAACGCATAATATGTTGAATGTCGACTGCATTCGATTCAAGGGCAGAAATAGTCGTAAGTCCACCAAAATCTCTGTCTGAATAAAAAGTGGACTTACGACATTTGCTAAGTAAGTTAACGATATAGGGTTTATTGGATCCATCTCTAACAATGATGGAGATACTATTAAAAAACGAAAAGATGTTTTTTTTTAAGAAAATAAGATATATTGTAATTGTTAGACATCTTTCAGGCATTTCTGCCTTTTTTCCAATTACATAAGGATTTACAAATTACAAGATGCATTTAAAAAACCTTCTTTTCGTTTTTTAATGGTATCTCGCTTATTGTTGAAAATGTTAAAATTTGTACGAGTAAACATCAACTGTGCGTTAAGAATAATGTGCAAACGGTGCAACTTCGTGGTAAGTGGATTGGACGCAGAGGGGCAATTGATTGGCCAGCTAGGTCTCCCGATATGACACCGCTTGATTTTTTTCTGTGGGGTCACATAAAAAATGTAGTCTACAAAAATAGGCCGCAAAATATCGAGGAGTTGCAGGAAAGGATAAGGCATGAAATTTCCACTATTCCTCCCAATATCCTTTTAGATTCACTATAATCAGCGAATTCATTACCGTCAGGAGGTAAATGGTGAATACTTATAAAATGAATTTCAAAGAAAATTAAGTATAGTGGAGATATTATTATCTAAAATATTATCAGAGATGGTTAAGTTGGGGCAAAAACTGACGTTCATTTCATAGAAAATATTAAATGTTTGAAAAGGGTTAGTATTATCGTATTTCAATATGTTGAGCTTTTGTAACACTTTAATGTCGTTTGTAAATTTGTAAATAAAACATTTGTGGTTAATTTGTGGAATCATCCATTGTTTATTGATTTTGTACCGACATCTTGAGAAAAGAAATTATTAATTGATTAATTAATTTTAACAGCAATTTAAAAATTAGTTCTTGAAGACATACAACTTGTGTATGTCAATTTTTTAAATAAATTCAAAGATAAAAAAATTCTCATAATTTTGTAAAATCTTACAGTTTCTTTCTATTGTCTTAAAAAGATATGTTGGAATTCAAATGGGTCTATTTCCTGTTCTTTGTAATGCGAAATATAGGCAAATGCCATATTCAATTTCTGGTCTTAACAAGAAACAAAGCTGTGATTATGCCTAGGCAAAATCACTTAGTATAGCACTATAACAAAATTAGTGATTTTGTTTGGAAAGTAAACATCGGTCGATGTTTTCCGTGATATAAACTCCGTATCGACAGTTACCTACGTAGAGGTCATGCAAATATAATCGATAATATATACTTTACGGAATTTTCCCCGAACAAACAAAAAAGCAAGTGCTGTGAGAGGGTCGCAGACTATAATATTAAAAAGTCATTAACTGAAAATGTACTTTTCGTGAATGAATGAAAAGCGTCTAGCGGCACATAATCCTTAATTACACACTAAGCGGTGTAGGTCCTAATTTAAATTTTAATTAAAAATTTAAAACACTCTTCTCGCGGGGATGTGTTTGACCTTTATGCGGCATCAATTAGAAGTGTGTCGACGGTCATATTTTAATTTTGGTACCCTTATATAACTCGTAATTTTTCTTGCTAATATTGATGTTCAATAATACTTGCAAAATTATGTTTTGGAAATATGTAGTTAAACTATGCTAGCTATGTAAACTGAAGCAGATATGTAGGTTGAAAGCAGATGTCTAGGTTAAAATTAAGGACGATATAACAATGGCATTACATTTCTTTTTGACGGGAAACCACCACGCCATTTGTGTGTGATGAACCTTAATATTGGAGGTCAAGATAGATTTTGACTTCGCGAAAATTACGGGAAGAGAGAACTTTTTATTTTTCGCTTTGTAAAGTAGTCAGAAACAACATATAAAAAGCTACCAACTGTAGAGTGTACACTAAATTATTTATTTAACAAATTAGTTGCAAAATTACAGTTTTTGCAAAATATATATAAAAAATATAATTAAAAAAAAACTGCGCCATTCGAAAGAACAGGAAATTTTACATAGAAAATGTTAATAAAGTTTTTTTCTAAAATGCGGATTGAAGGCTGTAGAATTTTTTCTCTAACGTACGAAAAATGAGCGGGCTGCTCCCAAGTATAGCTCTGGAAGAGCGCGCGGTTCCGAGCGCGGTTCACTAAATTTGTTATAATTTTTTATCTAATTGATCAAATCGACCTCACAAAAATTTAAATAAAGGAAGTCATCCGGCTATCAAAATTTTATGTCTTTAAACTTGAGAAAAAAAAAATATATAGTACATACGTACAAAGTTACGTCATTCTATAATTTTGTACAATAATGATAAAATAGCTGTCATTCTTTTAATTTTTAAAATAAATATCTGTATCTTTCACAGATTACTCTTCAAATGACGATTGAAACAGCAACATATTCAATAATTTTAAAAAAAATCACAAATTTGACTTTTTAGGCCATTCTTTATAGATCAAAAACTATAGTTGTAAATGTGATATTGAAACTTTATGACAGCACTTTTTAAAGCTTAAAATCTCTACTTTAAGATGTCGCATTTTATTTTTCTTAAAAAATTGAAATAATAGTTGAAAAAAAATAACAAAAAATAAAAATATTTCATGAAAAATCCATGAAATTTATTGTTAAATAAAGTTTAGTAATGTAAAAAAAAATTTTTTTTGTTTAAAAAACGTCAAAGAATTAAGTTAAGACCTTAAAAAAAGTAAATCCAGCGAAAAATTATTTTTTTATTTATAGTAATAAGTGAAAAATTGTTATAACAGCAAAAAAATAACGTTTTTTGAGTAATTGATTTAATATTTATTTTTAAAAAGTATATTCTGTATCTGACATTGTGAATATAAGTTCGAAACATGCTCGGTGAGTATAGCACCCACATGGTGTATACTAATACATATGTATACAATAGCCTTGCTTGCAAAGGAGAATTTTGAAAGTTGTTTTTCTTGTCAGTTTGGGTGACGGAGCTAAGCAGTGAGCACACCAAATATTTTTTTGTTACTTACAGTTTTATTTATTTTAAAAGCGTTTTTCGTTTATAAGAATTAAATAATAATTATTATAAATGGTATAAGAATATGATTTTTATGTCTTCGGGTAAGCTGCAGTTATCAGTGTATTAAAAAGTGTATTATTCACATATTTTGTGCATTTTGAGGTTATACTCTCGTACACTTGTAATTCTTTAATGTAATATTATTACTTAATATTACAAATAATCTTCAATTTGCATTTAAGGTATTTATATTCGTTTTCTTTTATGCTAAACCTGTAAATGTATGAGTTTAATATTTATATATGAATATTGTTCCATTTTTTAAATAATTAATGAATAGATAAATAATAGGGGACGTTGATTTTGATTTTGTAATTTTGTATTTTTAATCAGTTTTTTTTTTTAATTTTATTGGCTTAAAGTTTAATTGCCCAGTTATTTTTGAAGAAGAGCAAGAACTCGATGAGATTTAAAAATTAATTATTTTTTAATAAATTTGTTTTTTAAAAAAACATATTTTCAATAAAACCTATTTAGCCATTTATAATTTTCATTTTCGAACCTCTATATTACAAATATGAGCGAGTTTGATTTAAAATCAATAATTGTTAAATAAATTGTTTAAAATAGTCGGCCATATTGGATCAGCCATTTTGAATTTTCATATTTTGACATCATATTCTTGTTTAGCGACGTCAAAAACCCCTATATTACAAATATAAGCGAGTTTGATTTAAAATCAATAGGTAATTGTTAAATAAATTGTTTAAAATAGTCGGCCATATTGGATCAGCCATTTTAAAATTTCATTTTCTGACTTCATATTCTTGTTCAGCGACATCGGACACCCCTATATTGTCAATTTGAAAGAATTCGATTTAA